TGATGCACTTTGGGGGTACATAGCCTTCATGTAACTTTCTTAGTTATTGTGTTAAAACATTCATATTCTACTCATAAAAAGATTCACTTGTACCCTTGTGAGATGAACCACAGAAGTGAACCCTCGAATCCCTCTCCCTCCACCTTCTCCTCCCTCCCTTCCCCCTCCCCGTATCCTTAGGTTGTAATTAGGTTATAGCTTTCATATAAAAAGGTTTAAATTAATTTCATAATAGGTGTGTGTACACTGGATACTTTTTCTTCCATTCCTGTGATACTTTGCTAAGAAGAACATTTTCTGTTTTTAGTAGAGACGGGGTCTCACTCTTGCTCAGACTGGTCTTGAGCTCCAGAACTCAAGCAATCCTCTTCGCCGCCCAGAATGCTAGGATTACAGATGTGAGCCACCACACCCAGCCTGATGATCTTATTATCTTTTCCTTCCGGTAATATGTCACATGTCCTGACACTCTGGGTCTATAAGCAGATACAGTATTATGCTATATCAACATAACCACATATGATAATGTGAGATAACTTAGTAAGTGGATGTTCAGGGGCAAAATCAGGTGGCCTGGTTCAGTAGCAGATCCTAATGACAGACTGATGGAAATGTGGGTGACAGGTGATCCCTACACTAGAAGGTAGAGCTGTCATCAGCAGGCAGGCCTATCAGACTGCCTGAATAGGTTACTGTCTACTTCACATACTCTTAGATAAATAAGAACTTTATATATCTTATTTTTAAGTCTAGATATTCTTTAAAATGATTCTATATAAAAAGGTAAAATATAAATACCTCAGTGTTGAAAACACAAAACTGGTTTAATCTAAACCGTATCTTTTTACTTGGTTACATAAAGTTCAGATTTATCAAGATTGAAATATACCCCTCTTCTGGGTGACAAATGTCAAACTAGTTTATCAATATCTGAAAGTTGGCTGGGCACGATGTGCAAGCCTGTAACCTGAGCACTCTGAGGGGCCAAGACAGGAGGATCACTGCAAGGCAGGAATTTGAAATCAGCTGGGGCAACACAGTCGGACTGCATGTCCCCCCCCCACCCCCCCCCAAAATTACCCAGGTATAGTAGTAAATGCTTATAGTTTTAGCTACTCAGAAGGCTGAGACCAGAGGATCACTTAAGCCCACGAGAGGTTATAGTAAGGTATACTCACACTCCAACCTAGGAGACAGAGTGAGACCCTGTCTCTTAAAAAACAAAAAACAATAAAACCTTGAAAGTTAAAGAAAAATAAACAACACAATATGGTATAATAATCTTTCCTACATATGGAAAGGCTTAATTATATTCAAATAAAAAGAGCAATGAGACAAAATACAGTACCTTCTAGAAGTGTTTCTCCCAATTGTTAAAATCCTGGGTCCTGAGAACAGAGTTCTGAGATAGCTCACAATCCAAACACTCCCTGAAAATGAAGAGAAATACGTATTACTTCAAGTGCGTCTTATTTCAAAGAATTTCAGTAGTATGTTTTACAATGGAATTTTAACTGACTAAAATAAATAACCTCAAAAAACAAACAAAAAAATGTATTGCAAGGTAAAAAGTATTCTTTCTTTCTTTTTTTTTTTTTTGCAGTTTTTGGCCAGGGCCAGGTTGAACCCGCCACCTCCAGCATATGGGGCTGGCGCTTACTCCTTGAGCCACAGACACTGCCTGTACAAAGTATTCTTAATGACACATCTTCCTGGCATAGTTGTCAACCACATCTGATGAAAACACTCACATGTCATAATTATTTACCAAAATACACTACCCGTTTTTTACACTACAGTAAAGACTGTGCCTGTTCTCAAAGATGTAAGAAGTTAATGTCAAGAAAAAAGGAGAATTTCAATTGAGGATTCTGGGAGAAAAAAAGTGTTAGAATTATCCGATAGTCACTGCAAAGTCTGAAACACTTCATTTCTTCTCCAGACCACCAGGAACAGAAAATGTTAAAACCGAGAATTAGAACCATTCTAGATATAAAACGACACGGACATGTGGAAAAGTTTACACTGTCAGGAACAAAGGATGGAAGTTTTTAGCCACCAAGAGATGCGGCGTATAATGTAATACTGTGCTGGCTTAGGAAGCTTTATTTTGGTTAACAGGCATGGCTGTGAAGCTAGTTGGTGACAGGGAGGTATGATGCAAACTCCCTGTTACCACCACACCAGCATTCCATTTCTATCAGCCATTGTACTTATGTATCTGACTTATATTTCTAGAGTTTTCAGTTCTAGAACCTATGATCAGTTCTCAAAGATTACACTTTGACAAAAAATAAATCTGTAAACCTGAATTCTAACCTCCCCAACTAGTTACTTTTCATTATCGCGTCATTCTACCAGGGTCCTGCAGTCTTCAACATCTACATGTACAAAGTTTGCTACAGTGAGGCTTCCCCAACAGCCTTAAACAAGCAGGCTCTTTACCACGACACCTCCAGGTCACTTCACCTCTGTCCTCTTTATTGTTACTTTCCCCGTATCTGTGAGCCCTACATTCATCTCTGAATCCCCCAACACATGGTGTGGAGCAAAGTATACAGCTAATACTCAGTAAATATCTGCAAAATGAAATCGATGAACCTTAAGAGTCTTGATCAGTTGCTATGCCATGTTTAAGTAAAAATTATATCATAAAAGGAAAATAAGGTCGGGTGTGGTGGCTCATGCCTGTAATCCCAGCACACTAGGAGGCTGAGGTGGGTGTAGTGCTTCGGGTCAGGAAGCATTCAGGAGTTTGAGAACAGCCTGAGCAAGAGTGAGATACCATCTGTACTAAAAAATAGAAAAACTAGTCAGGTGTTGTGGTGGGTGCCCGCAGTCTCAGCTACTTGGGAGGCTGAGGCAAGAGGACTGCACAAGCCTAAGAGTTTGAGGTTGCTGTGAGCTATGGGGCCACAGAGTAAGAATTCATCTCAGAAACAAAAAAACAAAAAAAAACAAAAAAAAGGAAGCACTTATGTGGACTAGCTACAATGAAAAACCCTTGCCTGTCTTTTACTTGCCCTCCCTGTCCCCTCCCCACACACTCAGTCGCTCACTTTCAGTCTTCAGTGGTAAGACTCTTCTGGTCCAGGCTCTCCCAATTCCCTCAATCAGCTGGGCTGGGCAGCATGTCTCCTCTCTGCCCAGGTCAGCTGGGACTCTAGTGCCACTGTCTCAGGTTTTGTACCAACTGGCACAGTACTTGGCATTAACACATCCAGGCATACCTCAGAGATATCAGTGGATCTGCTGCACACCATTACAACAAAATAAATATTGCAATCAAGAACGTCACACAAATTTTTTGATTTCCCAGTGCACATAAAAGATACATTTACACTACAGCCAATTAAATGTACAAAAATAGCACTGTGTATAGAAAAACAATGTGCATGCCCTAATTTAAAAATAATATATTCTTAGGAAATGCTAACACTGATCTGAGGTGTCAGCAAATCCTAATCTTTGCTAACAGAGGGTCTTGTTTCCATTTTGACAGCTGCCGGCTATCAGGGTGGTGACTGCCAAAGATTGGGGTGGCTGTAGCAATTTCTTTCTTTGTTTTTTTGTTTTTTGAGACAGGAGTCTCACTATGTCATCCTGGGTAGAATGCCATGGCATCAACATAGCTCACAACAATCTCAAAGTCTTGGGCTCAAGCGATCTTTTTGCCTCAGTTTTTCATTTTTTGTAAAGACGGGGTCTCGGTTTCACTCAGTCTGGTCTTGAACTTCCTGAGCTCAAGCAATCAGCCCGCCTTGGCCTCCCAAAATACTAGGATCACAGGTGCAATTTCTTGAAATAAGATAATGATGAATTTTGTCCCATTGATTAACTCTTCTCTTCTTGAAACATCTCTCTGTAGCATGCAAAGCTATCTGATAGCACTTTACCCACAATTTCTTTTCTTTTCTTTTTTTTTTTTTTTTTAACCCACAATTTCAAAATTGGACCAAGTCCTCTCAAATGCTGGCACTGCTATATCAACTAAGTTCACGGAATGATCTAAGTCCTTTGTTGTTATTTCAACAGTGTTCACAGAATCATCAACTAGGAGGAGATTCCACCTCAAAAAACCAGTTTCTTTGGTCAGCCGTAAGAAGCAACTCCTCAACCATTGAAGTTTCATCATGAGACTGCAGAAATTCAGTCAGATTTTTTTGGCTCCTCTTCTAACTCTAGTTCTTTTGCTATTTCCACCACTTCTGCAGTTACTCCCTCCACTGAAGTCTCAAACCCCTCAAAGTCATCCACAAGGCTTGGCTGGAATCAACTTCCTCCAAACTGTTAATGTTAGTATTTTGACCTCCCCTCAGGAAAAACAAATGTTCTGTCATGTAGATTGGAGAATCCTCTCCAGAAGGTTTTTCGTTGTTGGATTTTTTTTTTTTTTTTTTGAGACAGACTCTCACTATGTCGCCCTCAGAAAAGTGCCATGGTGTCACCGTGCCCAGCAATCTCAAACTCTCGGGCTTAAGCAATTCTCTTGTCTTAGCCCCACAAGTAGCTGGGACTACAGGTGCCTGTCACGACACCAGCTTTTGTTGTTTGGCAGGCCTGGGCTGGGTTGAAACCCGCCAGCTGCGGTGCCCCAGCCACTGAGCTACAGGGGTTGAGTCTTTCCAGGAGATTTTTAACTGACATTGCCCACATTTGTCAGAGGAATCACTACGTACAGTAGTTACACCTTCCTATAATATGAATCATAAGTGCCCAAAGTCAAAATCACAGAATGAATGCTGTGTTAGTAGTCAGGAAAACATCATCACCTTGGACTTTTCCATAGGACCCTTGACTGACCAAGTGCACTGTCAATAAACAGTAATATTTTGAAAGTAATCTTCTTCTCCTGAGCAGTGGGTCTTCAGATTGGGCTTACAGTACTTAGCAAACCACGCTGTAAACAGATGTACCATCACCCATATTTTGTGGTTCCACTAATAAAGCACAGGCAGAATAGATTCAGCATAATTCTTAAGGCCCCAGGATTTTCAGAACAGTAAATTAACACTGGCTCCCATTTAAAGTCACCAACTACATCATCCCCTACCAAGACAGTCCTTCCTTTGATGCTTTGAAACCAGGCCCTGACTTCTCCCCTCTAGCTATGAAAGTCCCAGATGGCATCTTCTTCCCATAGAAGGCTACTAGGCTACTTCATCTACACTGAACAGCTGCTGTTTAGCGTAGTTACTTTCATCAATGACCTTAAACAGAGCTGCGGGATAACTTGCTGCAGCTTCTACAGCAGCACGGGTGGCTTCACTGCAGTTTTACGTTAGAGAGGCGGCTTCTCTCCTTAAACCTCACTGAGCAATCTCTGCTAGCTCCCAGCTTTTCCTTGGCAGCTTCCTCACCTCTCTTGGCCTTCCTAGCACTGCTAAGGATTAGGCTATGGCTTATAGGAACACTGAGGCTAGTTTGATCTTCTCTCTAGACCCCCAAATCTGCCTCCCCATCAGCAATACGCATGTTTTGTTTTCTTATCATTCATGTATTCTACTGGAGTAGTAGCACTTTTAATTTCCTTCAAGAACTTTTCCTTTGCATCCACAACTTGGCTAACTGTTTGGGGCAGAAAGCCTGGCTTTCAGTTTATCTTGGCTTTCAACATGACACATGCTTTCCTCACGAGGCTTAGTCATTTCTAGCTTTTCATTTAAAGTGAGAGGTGTGACTCTTCCTTTCACTTGAACAGGCCATTATGGGTTTATTATAAGGCATAATTTCAATACTGTTTTGTCTAAGGGAATGGGAGCCCCAAGAAGAGGAAGAGAGATGGAGGAATGGCCAGTTGGTGAGGCAGTCAGAACATACACATTTAACAATTCAGTTCACTTGTTTATATGGTTCCTGGTTCCCTAAAGCAACTAGAATAGTAATATCAAAGGTCACTGGTCACAGGTCGCTGAAACAGATACAATAATAGAAAAGTTTGAAATACTGAGAGAATTATCCAAATGTGGCACATGAAGTGAGTGATCACACGCTATTGGAGAAACAGCACCTGCGCACTTGCTCAACTCAGAGGCCGCCACAAATCCCCAATTTGCAAAAAACAGGGCACTTTAAAGAGCAGCAAAGTGAAACACAACAAAACGAGGAAAGTAACACCAATGCCACCCTCCATCAGCAGCAGGGCGCGTCACCTACGTATGGATCAAACATGCCTAGAATCAAAAATAAGGGCAGAAAGTTGCCAAAATCTTAGAATTTGACAGAAGGCGCCTCCTTAAGATAGAGTTCATAACTACTAAAGAGAAAAAAACAAACAAACCAACAAACCAACCCTGAACGGACCTCCAGGCAATTGAGGGGAAAAAAGAGCATTATCATTTCCTATTAGGACACTACTTTTTCAGCAACTAAACAAAAACATTACCAAATCATTTTATGTAATAAAATTTAACCTTACTTTGACCTTCCT